TTTCAACACTTTTTCAGGGGTCAATTCCGGTGTAATGTTGATGAATTTAACAAGGCTTCGAAACTCAACTTGGCTTCCATCCATTGTGAATTACTACAAAGAATACAAACTGAAAATAACCTGGGGAGATCAGGATCTCATTAACATCTACTTTCACTTTCATCCAGGTGAGGGCGAATCTCAGAAATAATTTAACAATGTACCTGTACAGCGTGTACTGCGAGTGTGAGCCAAAGTATAAATACATAAGTATGAAGTTCAAGAAGCACCCCCATAGAATCTCTAAGTAATTACTTTGAACTAGGTGTCATTTGAAAGAACTTCATTCGTAGTCTCTATTTCTCATGGTTCAAAAGTTATGCATAAGGTTCAAAAAAGCTATTTTTAGCATATAAGTCACAGCCAAGGTCACAAGGTCATTGGCCTTGGTGCCATTTGAAAGAGTTTCATTAGTGGAGTATGCATACCAAATATGAAGTCTCTTTCTCTCACGGTTCAAAAGTTATGGCGAAAGTTAATGTTTGCAGACAAACAGACAGACAGGACAAAAAAATATATGCCTGGATCTATCAATCTGGGTGCATAAAAATTATATAATATTAGTTTACTTATGCAAAGATCACACATACATATATCTGTTTTCTAATAGCATGGTGATGTGAACAATTTTCTTTTCACAGATGAGCTTTATGTTTATCCATGTGAATGGAACTACAGACCTGATCACTGTATGTATATGAGTGTGTGTACAGGTGCAGAACGAAGTGGGGCATATGTACTTCACGGTAATCGACGAGCAATGCAGAATGATAAACAACCTGCATTTAAAGCTGCTTATTTAGCCTTTAAAGAAGTAAGTGACTCCACTGAGATAAAAAAAGTGACATTGATTTTGACATAAATTTTAACATAAATTTATTATATCTGAAGTAAATTTCATAAAAGAGTTAAAGATATGTTGAAGTATTTTTAATTTAAAAACATCAGTGTAACATATATTTGTACAGTTAAACCTCATTATCTCAAACACATCAGGACAAAGATAATAGATTTTAAAATATCCAAGGATTTGAAATAACAAGGTTAACAAAAAGGTAAAACAAAAAAGAGGCTGGGTCAGCCATGTCACTTTGACACACTGATGTTTTTTGTTTGTTTTCTTTTGAGATAATGAAGTTCAAGTGTATTTGGAAAATAAAATTTTTAAAGACTGTCTTTTGTTTTAATTGTCACAGGATTTTGATTGTATTATGCCAAAAATATTTATCAGAATAATGCCACTGTTATGCTTGTAACAACATCAATAATTCTTTCCTCCACATAGACAGTGTCATTTCTTCTCTTTTTTGCAGTATGATTTCCATCAGAAGATGAAGACATCCCTCCTTCCCCTCTTCAAGAGAAACTTGAGGCGACATCCAAGACGCCATGTGGACGTGTTAGACATATATTTTCAACCAGAGTTGCTCAATTTGTTAATCATGCTGAAAAATGACTCACTTGATTCTGAAGAAATGGTTGCAAGGCTGGCTGTTATCACAGATTTTTTAAATTTTGAAAAAAAAGATTCAATGATATGAGGTTTCCCTTCCAGTGGTATGGGCATAAATATAAAATAAGTTGGGGGTAGTAGCATGAAAATCAACTAGGTTTGTTTTCATTGTATTTTTCTTGTGGCTCAATAATGTAGCCCTATCTAGTTATTAATGAGTTCTTTTTGGAGGGGGGTTCTTTTTGTATTTTTTATCTGTTTTGGTCAGGAAACCCTCTCTTTAAAAAATCATCTGTTAAAAATATAAAGAAGGCTACATTATTACAGCTATTTCTTGGGTTGGTGGGGGGGGGCGTCAATTTACTATGAGGGAACATTTTTTATTTAGACTACAAGCTTGCCTTTATTTATGAGATACATCATCAGAAGATATGACATGGAAAATTGTACTGTCTCTTGCAGATTACATGTGATTGGCTGATAGTGATTCAGCCTTATATTTGAATGTGATATTCTTTTATAGACAGATTGCTTGAATTGTTTTGAATTGTCTCTGAAACATAGCTATGTATTCATTTCATTTACTGTATATCATTAACATTTTGCATGATTATTTTTGGGACAGATTGATACTGTATTTTTATATATTTATTTTTTTTTTTTTTTGCAAGATATGAAAATCATTACATTCAGTTGACTCCATTGCTTGCCTGAAAGTAAAAATAGATTTGAAAATGACTTTATAAAGATATTTTGTTAATGAAATTAAACAGAGTTGTAAACAAAAGTGATTTGTGTTCCCCTACAAATACCAGATAAAGTATGAACAAAAAGTCTATTTTATGTCAAGTTTCTTTAGACAACAAAAATTTCAAGCCAAACCTTGTTATTTACAAACCCCTTGGGAATGGAAAAAATGAGATATCCAGTTAATTAAAATATTAAGGGAAAGGGCATAAAATGAAAATCGTTTTAACTTTCAAGTCTTTTCAATTTACACCATATTACAGAATGAGATGCAGAAGTTCAATTGTAGTTTGATACCATTATAATGCATGTTTGACCATGTAATATCAGAAAGATTTCCTTGGTGTAAAGAAACCACCATATCAGGACTGAAAGGTCAAAAGCAGATCATCAGTATTGCCTGAGCAAAGCTGCACCCCTATGGAATCTAACCACTGTGGCATCGCACTTTGAAAAAATTACACACTTTGAAAAAAAATTTCAAAGTGCGTTAAAATTAGGACAAAATCAACACACTTTGAAAACATTTTCAAAGTGCATTAAATTTGGGAACATTTTCAGCTTCTTCTCTGAAACCACTGAACCAATTTCAACCAAATTTGGTATACAGCATCTATGGGTGAAGGGGAACAAAAATTCTGAATTTTATGGTCCCCGCCCCCTTGGGGCCTGAGGGATGGGGCCAAAACCACTAAAATTAATGAAATTTTTAAAAATCTTCTTTTACTTATGGACATCAAGCAGTCAAACTGTTGGCATGAATGTAATAAGCATTGAGTCTTCTACCAAAATTGTGAAATTCATGGCCCCAGGGTCAGGTGTTCTAGTGCTAGGGTGGGGCTCTATTGACTTTATAGTGAAAATGCATTATTTCTTTGAAAATCTTCTTCTCTGCTCCTAGGTATTAAATAAACTTACTAAGTACATAGTTATGATGAGCAAAAGTGCGTCTACCAAAATCGCGAATTTTATGGCCCCAGGGTCAGGGGTTCTGGTGTTAGGTTGGGGCTCTATTGATTATATAGTGAAAATGCATTCATTCTTTGAAAATCTTCTTCTCTGCTTCTGGGTATTAAATAAACTAACTAAGTACATAGTTATGATGAGCAAGAGTGCCTCTACCACAATTGTGAATTTTATGGCCCCGGGTCAGGGGTTCTAGTGTTAGGATGGGGCTCTATAATGATTATATAGTAAAATACATTATATCTTTGAAAATCTTCTTCTTTGCTTCTGGGTAATAAACAGATAAACTACCTTATATAGCTATGATGAGCAAGGAATCTTCTTCCAGAATTGTGAATTTCAAGGTCCCTGGGCCAGGGGTACCGGGGGGGGGGGGGAGCTCTGCTTATATACTGAAAATGAATTGTTTGAAATCTGCTCCTTAGTATTAATCAAACATTATTGATTAGTAAGTGTGCCTTTTCAAAAATAGTGCAATGTGTGGACCTAGGGTCAGGGTTCATTTGTGGTAGGGGCACTTTTGATTATTGCTGAATATTACTGATTAGTTGAAACGCATTTTCCCCCTACCCTGTCTATGGGTATTAAATAACAAAACTAAGCAATTGCTAAGTGTATACTCATGATTAGCAATGATGCCTCTTTCAGAATTGTGAATGCCATAGCATCTAGCTTAAAACATAAACCAAATTCAATTATTTGAGAGTTGTTGCATGATGCTCAGGTGACCTATAAGGCCCATGGGCCTCTTGTTCTTATACACATTACATAACCATTGGTAGCAAATTGAAAGTGCCCCCTCAAGTTAAGCTCCGATTTTCAATGCCTATATTATGTATATCTTTGCAAAACATTTTTGTGACTTCTTCAGGTACCGATGGCTATGCTACACCAAATATATGTATTTGCATAACTGGTGTGACGTTGAAAACTTTGAATAAATCTTAGTTTACATAAAATGCATGCAAACTGGAAAAAAAATAATTACAGTAAAACGTTGAAGAGAGAAAAGAATTTTCGAATCATAGAAAAATCAAAAACGCTCACTTTCACATCCTGAAGTGACCTCATCACCGAAGAGTTATTAAACAGGTTCAATTATGTATCATACCTAAGATTTGCAAGAAAATTTGACCAAGCCATATACTTTTTTTCAAAGTGCGTTAATATGGTCGATATTAACGCACTTTGAAAAGAAATTATATTTTTTCAAAGTGCGTTGATTTGGTCCCAAATTTAATGCACTTTGAAAAAAAAAAATTCAAAGTGCGTTGTAACAGTGCTCTTTTATTTAAAAGAAAAATTACAAGCAAAATCATATACTGACTTTCATTCTTTCAAAACACATTCTGTATTGAATTTTGAGATTCAGACTTATGGGCTTTCAGACTTTCAGTCTTTCAAACCTTATCATTTTCTAAAACTTTCGGTCTTTTAAACTTTTAGGCTTTTATATATATTTTCAGGCTTTTTATACTTTCACTCAGACTTTCAATCTTTTAGACTTTAAGGCTTTCAGTTTATTAATCTTTTTCAAAAAAACCAAATCTTTAAAAAACTTTTTAAAATGTGGTTTCAGTTCTTTCATTATAATCAGAGCTTGTGAGTCTGATCCCCTTCTTGTGTGTTAAATTATTAACATTTATATAGTCATTTGAATAAATAACATAATTTATCTCAGTCTATGAAAGTTTTTTTATTATTTGATTTGCACAACTTAAGCAAAAAACTGGGTTGTTATGAGATTGCTTAGCACTAGAGAACACAAAACTTTTTAAACTGTGGTTTCAGTCTTTTATTTATAGCTAACACAGAAATAGACGCTGGGTTCTCTTTACGTCTGACAGCTCGACAGATGGGGCATATAAGGCATAGCAACATACGTGTCCACAAAGAATAAAAGCAATTTGTAATTCTTCGTCTAAACATATGTGACATCTTCCTCGAGCCTGGATCTCGGTGGGGGTGAGTAGAGGTTTTATTTCAGGTAAAGTTTTATATCCCAACTGATCTATAGAAATAATGAACACATTCATCACCACCCTCTTCCTCTAATAGTATTGATGATGTAAGGACAATTAAGGTTCCAATAAGCATGTTCTACATAGGGATCATCGTCAGGATCCCATTGGGTTAAATTTAAACCACAATGAAAACAGGCAGGTAGTACTATCTCTCACTCTCCTGTAGTAAAATCCGGTTTTGGTCAAATTGGGTATTAACTCTTCTAAAGATTCGGGCCTAGCCATTCTCAAATGTAGCTTCTCTATTTAAGAGTAGAGCATAGTGGGGGTGACAAGGAGGCCCATCCGGTTCCTTAGAAATATCAGTCATGACTAAACTTTGGATTGTTTTTTTCCCCTTCTTTTTAAATCCCCCTTTTTTCCTACAAGAAAAATAACACGTAAAGTTTTTTATATTATTAAGAAAAACACACACACACACACACTCATTTTAATTTACCAGAAAAATATGCCTGTCTCTTACTTCCTTTCAATCAGTCAACTGTTTTTGAATGAATGTATCTATTGATTCAAATGTATATATTTAAATCACTAATGTCTTTTGCGTACATGAAAATTAAACGTAAAAAAACTACACATCTGTTTGATTTCTTGATACTCGATATTCAAAAAAAATATTTGTGCATGCATATCTGAGAGCAGACAGCTTAGGTTCATTAAATATCTTATTTCCAAGTAAAATTTCTTTCTTTATTTTCTCGAAATATTTTGGCGAAATGATACTTGCACGTACCGAATATAGAAAATATTTTTAGGTGTAAAGTCTCGGATTTATCCAAGTTTTTATTCAACCTGCCATCTGTAAAGCCTTTTCCTCTATATTTTCCTCTTTTACAAAATTTAATTTCATATAATAAGAAAATAAGCTCTTTCGTATATAGTATCATTATTTAAAAGCACATAAATCGCAAGCAAAAAGCAAGGGAGGAGGGGGGGGGCGGAATAATGGCATCATTAAAAAAACATTTTAGAATTGGCCAGCATAATCTCATGTTTTAACTCCATATTAAATGTGATTGTTTGAAGTAGTGGGGTGGGCTTATATAGATCACGGTTTGAATTTCGAGCGGAATGACGTCACCAAACTTTGAACCAATCAGAAGGCAGTATTTGAATTTTTGGTCACTTGACCCTACACTGGAAGGCCGGAAAACCGCAATTTTTGAATCATCTATGTTTTGCCCTTGAGTCAAGTGCAAAATGAAAGGTCTCGACGAGTAGAGGTCAGCCCGGGGGTGTTCTGGGGTCATCAAATGTAAAAATAAAAAAGTTCTCAGAAGTGTCGTGTGACATAGCAAATGAAAGGTCTCGATGAGTAGGGTCAGCCTGGTAGTGATCCGGGGTCATCAAGTGCAAATTAATAAAGTTTTCCATATGGTATCGTGTGACATATCAAATGGAAGGCCTCGAAAAGTAGAAGAGTAGAGTTCAGCCCAGGGGTGTTTCGGGGTCATTGAGTGCAAAAATGAAAAAGTTACCCAAAAGGTATTTTGTGGTATATCAAATGAAAGGTCTCAACGAGTACGGTTAAGCCCGGGGGTGTTCTGGGGTCATCAAGTGCAAATTCAAAAAATTACCCAAGAGTATGGTGTGACCGATCAAATGGAAGATCCTCAAGAGTAGAGGTAAGCCCGGGATTGATCAAAACAACATCGTTTTTGTTCATATTTTATTACAAGACATGAAGAGCAATATTTTCTACATAAATCTGAATACATTTAATTTCAAGATAAACAAAGATAATTGCACACAATTATGCAGCCATGTCATCAGCATTTATCCAAGGATTGAATTTCTTTGGCCAATGCAGCCATTTCACAAAATGTTGCATGCTTGGTCCTCTTCCATGGGTCTTCAGGATCTTTTTCAATCTTAAACGTATCCTTGTCTCTAACAACAGTAACATCCACTTTTTGGAGTTCCGGTTGATAGAATGTCTCCGTAATGGCTTCGTCATTGTAGTCCTTGAGTACACTGGAATGCCGTTCCTCAGGAAACGTCGCAACACGGTGAAAATCCTGTCAAAAATGGATGATATTCTCGAAATTCCGCTTTGTTTGCTTGCGCGGGATCTCCTCTCGCAACAGAAATATAGATACGCGCACTTCGTCGTTGTTTGGTCTAGCCAGTTCAGGTTCGGTGTCAATAATGCGGTGGTACATCTTGTTCTAATTCCGAGCGAATTCTGAAGACGATCAAAGTATCGTTGGTATTTTTTGAATGTCATATAACGATTCATTTTAGTTTTGATCGTCTTGATGGCTCTTTCTGCATAGCTGGCCTTTACTTCGGTGTTTTGAGAATAAAAATGTTGTATGTTGTGATCCGCTAATACATTGTTCAAGGCTTTTGATCGAAATTCTTGTCCTTTGTCCGTGCGTAGCTTCGTTGGTTGTCTCCCTTCACGCAATATGTCTTCGAGTGCCCGGGCTGCGGTTGGCCCTTTCTTATCCTTTAAAGGTTGCATCCACAGGTACTTGGAGAAGATATCAATGACCAAGAGTACGAACCGGACACCGTCATTTTCTTTGCTGAATTTTGTCATGTCCATGAGATCGGCATCCCATTGATCATCAATGCCAGCGACGACCACCTGATTGCGACGATAATGTCGTCTCAAGGGTCGTTGTAGACTGTCTCTGGTTCCTGTCTCTGTAACCATTTGCGCTAAATCAAATCTATGCTAACTCATTCAAAACTCAATTTCCGTCAAATATCGTACGCGCTAAATATAATACATTTGCAGTAATACTCCCAAGAAATGTTTCTTATGGCATAGACAACACTAAAATGAAGCTGAAATGTTTCCCACCTCCTCATATAATACCTGATCACGTGACCTGTAGTGGCATAAAGAACAACGCTTTTTCCCACTGTTTTTTCAAGTAAATGCAACAATGTACAAGTAATAGTCCATTCTTCAAATAATGATTGGGAATAGTCTCAAAATATTAAGTAGGCCTCTTAGGATTCATCACTATCCTTTTCATCAATATCGTTGTCGTCATCCTCTTTCTCTTCGTCCTCTTCGTCTTCGCTTTCATCCACCTCCATGGGGGCAACATTATCTTTCGGATCTTTCCTTTGTCCGTTTTCTGGACACCATCTTTTCACATGTCTTTAAAGGTCGTGGACGTTTTCAAATACCAGACCACAATCATCACAGGAAGGCATATCTTCTGTAAGAGTGATGTGTTGAAAATCCGACCTGATGGATTAGTAGGTTGAAGGAACAGACACGTGGTACGTCCCATCGGCAGGAATAGCTGTCGGAGAATGAGGGAAATTCTCTGCTTCTTGCTGTTTTATGATTCAAGACGTCACTGCGCATACGCAGGTGTTCGGGTGTAGTTGGCTTCAAATCCACTAACAGGTATCCATACGGTTTGGAAGTAGCGTCTTTAAAATGTCTCAGCAGGTGTTGAGGATTTTCGGGATATATCTGTCGAGCAAAGGTCATGACTTGGTGTCTGTCCACCGGATTGTTAAACAGGACCAGGTAGTGACAATTTCGTCTTTGGGTGGGATCTTTGTTATAGTACATATTTTGATTGATAGCCACGGCCGATAGATTTCTGTGATGACTGCCCTCCGTAAACATTTCGTTGATTCTGGAATCTTTGGAAGGCGTAGACATTAGATCGTCCAAAATCACGAGATTTCTCGTTCTGGGATGTTTAAAGGAATCTTGATCCAGATCCAAAGGTATTCCTTGAATAAATTAAACCTTGGGATAAACGGTACTCTGAATGACATCATATGTTTGTAGAGCCATGATTCTCTCGGGAGGAGGCGGTGTTGCAAGAGCATTTTACAGAAATACGTCTTGCAACAACACGTGGCCCGAAATATTTGCTGTAAAGGGATACCTGAAGACAAAGTCCTGGTGTCGTTGCTGTGAAGGAAGAGTCGCTGATGGCAGCGGCGGCGGTGGCTTGAGTTGCGGCGGCATGCACTCCAGCGGCAGCGGCGACGGCGGTGGCTTGAATGGCGGCGGCGTGAATTTCAGCGTCGGCGGCGTGATCACCTGCGGTGGCGGCGATGGTGGTGGTGGCGGCGGCGGCATCGACGCCTTTGCTACCGCCTTCGGCGGCGGCATTCCCATCTTTCCGTGTACATTTCACTGACGCAGCTTTAAGACATCCTTTCGGGAAAACCAGCTTCGGCAGTCGTCGCTCTGGACTTTATGCATGTTGACTCTTCCGCAGACTCTCTCGAAATGTGACCAATTTATGCTTGAATAACTTTTTTTAAAATAGTTTTTTGGCAGAGGAACTGGTCATGGCTGCGGGTCGAAATATCAGAGTCAGGCTAATCTCGCCATTCAAGAAATGTGGCATACTCATAATCTTTATCTCTTATTTCCATGCGTATCTTTTTCAACTCTTGGATTCGCATCAGAACTGGGTACGGTCTCGTGAAGATTTGATTCTTGTTGGACTCCAAAACGACACACCTCAGCAATGGTCTGTATTGTTCACCCACCACAAAAGGTGTCGCATGCGTCACAGTAGATGAAAAGCTCCTTCTTTGTGGTCTTGACAGGGGTTGTGAATAAAATTCACTTAATTCTAGTGTCCAGTGTTCCATAAACACCAACGTTTTTGGCAATGTGACGGTGAAACCATAATTTTTTCTTGGGAACAGGTGTTTGCCTTCGGAGGATCGAAGGACTAGCGTCGTTGCCATTCTGTTTGATAATGAAGAGATTTACGAGCGTTCAGAGCATTTATACTATTAGGAAATTCTTAATATTGCAGCAATGACCCGGACACGTCCATTAGGTAGGACACACGCTTCCATAAGGTAACTTTTTGAATTTGCGCTTGATGACCCCAGAACACACTTTGGCTAAACTCTACTCGTCGAGAACTTTTATTTGATATATCACATCCAACACTTCAGGTAAATTTTTCCTCAATGACCCCAGAACACCCCCGGACTGAACTTAACCTTGGAGACCTTCCATTTGATATGTCACACGATTCTTTTAAATAACTTTTTGATTTTCACTTGATGACCCAGAACACCCCCGGGCTGAACCCTACTCGTTGAGACCTTTCATTTGATATACCACAAAATACCTTTTGGGGAACTTTTTCATTTTGCACTCGTGCCCCGGAACACCCTTGGGCTGAATTCTACTGTCGAGACCTTCCATTTGCTATGTCACACGACACCCTTCTGACAACTTTTTGATTTTTGCACTTGATATCCCGGGCCCCCGGAACTTTCCTCGTCAAGACCATTAGGCTTTTTCATTTTGACTTGACCCCAGGGCTAAACATGGGTGATTCAAAAATCGCGGTTTTCCCGCCTTCCAATGTAGGGTCACGTGACCAAAAATTCAAATGCTGCCTATATACGTGCACCCCACTACTGTTCCAATCCCCAAAATTTAAAAAAAAAAATAAAATCTTTTTTTTAAAAACCCCAAATGTTTCACAAAACCATCTTCCATTTTAGTGCCAAATTGAAGTTGGGAGTTCAGCAGTAATTCAATTCAATAAATATTTTATTAATTTATTTTTCCGGGTTTTTAAAAAAAATATATGTTTAATCTTAACTTGGATTGTAATATGTCTACGGTGTGATCGTTGGGTCTACCTAGGTGAGGCAGTTGCCCCATAAAAAACTTGAAACATCCAATTGTTTGTTGAAATTTTGACCGCCACTTAACCAAATTGCATGCATCTGAATCTGTAGTCACATGCAACGGAGATCGTCAGAGCTTTTGGAGACAGCCGATCGTGTGATTGATATATTCGAGATATTCTGATACCAATTCCAAAAATGACCTTTTTTTTTACTCAAAATTAGCTTGGGCCCCTGGTCATTCCATGTAAACAGACTGTTTTTTTAAAGGAGCGAAGGGTTCATAGTATTTTGCAAAATCTTTCAACTTTTTTAAAATTATTTCTTACTCCAGATTGTAAGATTAAGTCCGTAAAATTTCCCTTTAGCGAGGAATTAATTTGAAAAGTCTACATCAACAACTGCATCGCGATGTTGATTATGAATGAAAAAGAAGCTATGGTTTAACAAATTTTTTCCCCGAATGTATAATATACCTTTCGGATTTAAAAAAAATTTAACAGCTGAAATGTTGTTAGTGAATTCCGTAAAAAAATTTGTCCCGTCGTTCCCGCTTAACAATTAGTGTAGCTGATGTCGAGTAAAGAAAATTAAGGTCAATTTTGGGTTTATTTCAGAATATCTCGAGAAGTTTACGGAATTACGGAATGAACTTTGGTAGTAATGAAGATTGTTTATATATGAATAAATATGGATAGAAATAAAATTTTTAAAGCGTTTGATTTAAAAAATTTATTGGGAAAAAAACCCTTAAAAGAGTTCCATACCTTTATTTTTTTTTTTACAACTCAATTTCTTTTTCTAAGCGATCTAAAGGCCTGTGCTATAAAACATAAATTTAATGACATTGGGGTTTTATTTTAGGCAAAACCCCGGGGCCCCCAATCTCACAGCTTAAGTGCACTCATCTTTTATATATTTTTTTATTCACAGGTTCACCGATTTTACTAGAAGGCACACTAAGCAATGCTGGATGGGGCGTAGGATGATCTTTAAGTTTGGTCGACTGTCATCGTTGTCATCGCTGTTTGTATGTTCTATCTGATCCATCAACAGAATGATAAATTACCCCAGATCAGTTCTCAGAAATTGACAGCATTGTTGGAAATCAGCCAGGAAAAACTGCAGAGATCAGTGCTGAAGAAAAATTAAGAAAGGCTGTACTAGAAAAGTGAATATTATCATTTAGTGACCACTTTTTAAGTTATTAACTGTTCATAAAAATGTTATTTAGCTGTCCATAGTAACACAAATTACAAGTTAAATTGTTTAGTGAAAACATTAATCCAAAGCAAATGGATTATATAGTCAAAAATAAGTTATATAGCCCAAACGTACATCAACACGAAGTACGAGCGAATTTACAAGATTTTAGCGAACACGAAACGATTTCTCAAATTGTTCAAATGTTCGTTGCAATTTGGGAAAAAGTCTATTTCTTCTGGTATTAATCCTTCTCTATAACTAATTCCAGTCTCTCCCCAATAGATTGATGTCCATCTACAAAGTATGTTGATGGCGTTTTAACTTAAGTTTATGCACATTCATTCCACTTTCTTTGTGGGGATTAAGTCATCATTGGTTCCCTCTGCTTCTTCTTCCAGCTCAAAGTATCTGGACTTTCAGGGTTTTCAAGATCAGACAAATCTTCTTCATAGTTGGTATACTGTAAATCACTTTTTATTCGCGAAATTTTTTTTCGCGTAATTACGCGAGACAGTGTGCTCGCGAAAATTTATTTCTCGCGGATAATAGTATTCCTTAAGATTATATAGAGCAATAACCAGAATTCAAAAAAAATTTTTATCTCGCTAATCAAGAGTCAGTGACAATCTCGCAAAATAAGGTGTCGCGAAAATTTAGTGATCTACAGAATGTCCAATATATAGACATAAACTGACAAATGTTAAATTCCAAAATTTATGTTTTTGGGGAGCACTTCACAATAAAAGTTGGAGCAATTCACATGTTTTTGGAGCACTAGTCATCTTAATGTACATTACGCAATTCACGGTCCCGAAAAATTTATCAAAATTTTATCTCCATCTTCCGAATAACAATTAATTT